AAAGCTTTCTGCAAAAAAAAATTCAGCTGCAGAGGTGTTTGCTAGTGAATTATTCCAAGCACATAGGGAGAAATAGAAAAATAAAATAAAAAATAGGAATTGTACAAATACTTCCAAAGTGGGTGAGAAAAAAATACTTCCCAACTTACTTTGTGAGGCCACAAAACTTGAAAGGGCATTACAAAACAAGAAAAGTTAAAATGAAAATTCTCATTAACTTAGAGGCAAAACTTTCAAACAAAAACTCAGTATATTTAAAAATCATGCAATATATCTTACCACATTAATAAAATGAAGAGAAAAACTTATTGTTCATATGAAAAAAGTGATGACTCTAAATTAATGTTAACTGAGTAAACCAGAAATAGACAGAAAGATTTTCTTCAAAAATCACACTTAATGTTGAAATGCTTTAAATATTCCCTCTGCATTTGATGACAGGATAATGATACCTACCATCACCACTTCTACTTAGCTTTGTATCTGAGACCTTAAGAATTTAAATGAGGCAAGAAAAGCAAAATACCTCAGCAGAGTAAAGGAAAAGAAAATTAAACTTAAAACTATTCACAGATGAGATGACTGTGCATTTACACAATCAGGAAGAACAATAGGCATAGCACTACCTACAATAATTGACATGAATGAATAAATGATTATTAGTAGTTGGTATTATAAAGCAAGATAACTAGATACAAAAAAGTATTAAACTATCAATTGTATGTCCATAAATCAGTAACTAATTGAAAAATACATTTCTAAAATGATATCATTTAAAATAGCATCAGAAATCATACAACTGGGAATCAAATGTGAAAAGTGTTGATAGAAAAAACTATTAATCATCAGAAATTAAGACACATAAATACAGATATTTATCATGTTCATGAACTACAAGGTTTTACATTTTAAACAAGTAAGTCCTTTCAAAAATGGCGTGTGTATCCAATCCCAAATCAACATTTTAACAGGTTTTCCTCCAGTGGTTATTCTAAAATTTAGGTTAAAATGTGAAGTATCTAGAATTGCCCTAGTACTGCTGCAAAGGAATAAAGTTGAAGAGCTTACGATACTAGGCATCAAAGCACATTACAGAGACACAGTGCAGTATTGGTGCAAGGAAAGACATATAGACAAATGTGACACACCAGGAAATCTAGAAAGAAGCCCACATACAGGCATTTGATAGATATCAAAAGTGATATCACAATGCATTAACAAGAGAATGTTTACTTTAATAACAAATACCAGATCTGTTGGACATCCATATGGAAATCAACAAAATGATGAAGTGATTACAAAGGTAAAAGGGCACATCTCAATGGAATATAGGCAAAAGATTTGGAGAGGCATTTCTTAAAAGGGAATATCCAAACAGCATAAAATACACCAAAAGTTGTTTCACCCTATTAGTCATAAAGGTATTAAAATTAAAACTCTAATGAAGTAACAGTGAACATCCATATAACACCTATAGAGAAAGATGTGAATTGATTTGATCTGCCATGTACTGTCATATACACTGTGGGAGTTTACATGGCTATGTATAATTTCTGTGGAAAAATTTTTGGCCATATCTACTAAAGCCAGACATAAACCTACTCAGTTATCCAATAATTTCACTCTCGCATATAACCATTGAAAATGTATGCATATGTTTTGCATGTTTTTAAATGCCAAACACAATGATAATGATAGAAGAATTATTCACAATAGAAAACAAATGGGAGAAACAACAATATCCAACAACAACAGAAGGATAAGTTAATTAAGGTAAGGTATAGTCATACCCTGGAACATTATAAGGCAATGAAGAGGAAACAACTATAATTATACACACTCTGTGGACGAATTTCTCAGACATAATGTTAGTACAAATACAGCACTGATCCAATCAGGTAACATTCAAAAGCAGGCAAAACTAATCTACTTGGATAGAAGTCAGGATAGTAATCACTTTTGAAGAGAAAGGAATAATGGTTGAAAGATCTTAAAAGGTGGTTTCTTCTGTTAGTAATTTTTCATTTCTTTTTCTGGATGTTGTATTCAAATGCAAAAGTTCAACTGGTTTGCTTATAAGTTGCATACTGTGATATATGTATACTTCAATAAAAGAATTACTTACAAATATTTGAGGATAAGTTATTTATTTTACCTTCTATGCCTATGGTTTTCAGAAATGACCTAGCTATAAAATTTTCTACTTGGGAAAATATGTTTAAATCATCAGACAAATCTCTGTTTGAATTTTACCTCTGATACTCACTATCTACATAAAGTTTAACAGGGTCCTTAACCTTTATGATTCTTAACTTCTAGACATATGAAGTTAAGACATCACTGTTTACTAACAGTAGCTAGAGGGGACCAAATCTCATGGCACATAGGTGCTCAGTAAATGAGGTTAGTATGCCTAATCTTCATTTTATGTCCGAAGAAACTGAGACTCAGAAAAGTTAATCAAATTTTCCAAAGAATTACAAGTAGCTATTGGAAAAAGCAGGATGAAGAACACCTAGAATTCTGTCCTAGTACCCTTGTATTTTAAGAATTCTCAATCTTTGTATCATAAGTCCTACAATCCAAGGGTAATTCAATTGGTATGTGTTAAGAATAGTATACATATTTTTTACGTTTCCTGGTTGATGCTAAAGTACAGTCAGAACATTAGCATTATAATGACTGCATTATAATAAACATGGCTTATATTTCTAGTGCCAATTAAGTCATAAGATTTAGATAAATGAGCAGAATAGGGCCTGATTAACATATCACTTGGCCCATCACTTGGGAAGAACCTATGGAGTGGTTGAATAGAGTTGGATTTGAGAATGGACATGTATCATCTTCGATACAGGCCAATGTGGAAATGTAGACATAGGGGCCTGGAGACTGAGCACACATTTTCCTTAATTTTCACCATCATTATTTTGGTAAACAGTGGTTTGCTTTCTTATCTTGCTAGCACACTAATAATCCAGTGACAATGGCATGCTTCTCTCTATTCTCCAGTGCCTAGATGACTAAATTTTCTATTCATATGTATGATTTCGTTTCTTTTGCTTCTCATTTAGTGTCCCTGTGGACCCAAAGTCACTTGGGTTCATAAGTAAAACCCTCCTGAGATTGTACATCTCTGCCCTGTAATTTTCATAGATAAAGAGAGGGAGATTTTCTTTCATCTCTGTTTTTTTTTTTTTTTTTTTTTGGCCTCAGAGAGACCCAGCTCTTACCAATGAGCCCACAGCTCAATTCCACCTTAGTATAAAGTTCATGGCCCCAGAACTATAGTCTGTTCTTTCTCTGCTAGAAAAGAGAGAAGGCCTTTCTTTCTACATGAAACTGGTAAGAGGGAAGAGGGAATTGTTCATTGTGTTGATTTTGTGTTTTCTTACCTATTCACAAATAGTCATATGGGTTTACAGAAAAGACAGGTAACATTAGGGTCCATCCTATCTTCATGGATCCATATAACACAAGGATATACCACCTTTAATAATTCACAGTTAAATATTTTAATTTTCTCAGATTCAATTGAAACTCAGGGAACTGGAGACAAGAAAATACAGAAAACTAGCATAAAGGGAGGAATAACGTGTACTTATTATAGGATATTTACTCTCATGAACTTAAACTTCACACTCTGCCACCTGCTATTTTTAAAAGCTTGATTGAAAATTATAACATACTGAGTATTGCTGTTATTCAATTTTATATCTTCCTAGAATTGATTTGAACAATATAAATGTTTTAATGTATAAAATAACTTTCAGAATTTTAACTGAAATCCATTTTATGGCATTTCTGTGTTTACTGAGTCAACCACCTTTCTCATTCTCTGTCTCCTGAAAACTTCTACCAACTCCTCCAGCCATGACTTCATACTTTGGAACAGCAGTAAATTTCCTCCTAATATTTCACAGAGCAAAATGTAGATACTGGGTAACACTTTTTCACATAACCCTGCACCAACCTACAATTTGCTACTCTCTAGTGTCAATTAAAATGATGATCCTCATCTTTTTGAGGGCTATTCTTCACATTCTACATTTTCAATTTTTCCCTATCTATTGTATCATTAACTTCAGTTTATGAATTTAGCCATTTCTCTGAATACTTCTCATTTTGTAAAAATTTTCCATTTATGTTATATCCTTCTTTAACCATGCTCTACTTCTCTCCTTGCCTTCACTACCACGTTCCAGAAATAAAATAAACCGTACCTCCACTGCTAACCCTTTCGTTCATTACCAAAGTCACTGTATGCAGTCTCAGTTTCCAACTGCCTTTCCCAGGGTCACTAACGAGCTATTGGCTGCATTTGAACTTGCAATTCAACACAGTTGTTCACGTAATAGCAGTTCATGTTAGTCTATATACTACGTTCTCTTGGTTACTATAGTTTCCATAAAACCCGTGTTATCTTGCTTTAACAGATATGGTCCTTTGCAATCTTCTAGAGAGTTCTGTCTTCACTGGTTTTCCCTTGTAAATCTACTCTCTGTGGTTGTTCACCTTTGATGGTGGATGAAAATAACACATATGCAGTTCTAACATCCAAATCTGTGTTACTGGCAATTATCTGGAGATCTGTGTCTGCAGATTCACATCCACATGGTCACTGCAGAATTGAGGATACTTTTAAATATCTTTCTCTTATTCATTTCACTCAAACATATTCAAAATTAATGTAATTATCTTTTTACCAAGTCTTTATTCATAAGATCTTATGATATTATTGAGCTCAAATTTTATAGATATAAAAAACATTATCCTAAAATGATATAAAATAAGGACATATTTTCCTTGAATTTTAGGTTAAATAGGTATGTATATATTTGCTGACTATGAATGGTAGATGAACATTATAATTTAATTTAGAGGTTTCTCAATGATGTAGATCTTCTCTATAACCTTGGATAACTCTCCCAACCAAAAGAAAATTGCCTAAGTATGTTGCATAACACTATAATGTATCACTTCTGTAGGATGGGAGCATTACGAGGACAAATGCTGCAAAACCAGGACACCATGGAAATCCTAAGCAACTTGACATCTAAATTTCCAACCTTCTTGTTGACCAGCATTCCTGGCCTAGAGTCTGCCCGTGCCTGGATCTCCATTCCTTTCTGTTGTCTTTACGCCATTGCCCTCTCTGGGAACACCATGATCCTGTTCATCATCATTACCCAGCAGAGTCTCCATGAACCCATGTATTATTTTCTCTCCATGCTGTCAGCCACTGATCTGGGCTTGACTGTTTCTACATTGTCAACAACATTAGGTATCCTCTGGTTTGATGCCCATGAAATTAGTCTAGATAACTGCATTGTCCAGATGTTTTTTCTTCATGGATTCACTTTTATGGAATCTGGGGTGCTGGTGGCTATGGCCTTTGACCGTTATGTGGCCATCTGTGATCCTCTGAGGTACACTACCATTCTCACTAATTCCAGAATCATTCAGATGGGTCTCCTAATTATTACACGTGCTACAGTACTAATGGTGCCACTACTTTTGCTCCTTAAGCCTCTCTATTTCTGTAGAATGAATGCCCTTTCCCACTCCTACTGTTACCATCCAGACGTGATTCAATTAGCATGTTCAGACATTCGGGCTAACAGCATCTGTGGATTAATTGATCTTACCCTGACCACTGGAATAGATATGCCATGTATCGTCCTGTCGTATATCTTAATTATTCACTCTGTCCTCAGAATTGCCTCCCCTGAAGAACAGCACAAGGTCTTCAGCACCTGTGTCTCCCACATGGGAGCAGTTGCTATCTTCTACATCCCCATGCTGAGCCTGTCCTTGGTGCATCGCTATGGTCACTCAGCCCCCAGAGTGGTCCATTCAGTGATGGCCAATGTATACATGCTTTTGCCCCCTGTGCTCAACCCCATCATCTACAGTGTAAAAACAAAACAGATACGCAAGGCTGTACTCAGTATGCTGCTTACAAAATGAACAGACATAATGCTATTTGATAAAAACCTGGCATAAGTGACTTGCATTGTAGAAAAGCAAACTTCCTATCTTACTGGCTATTGCATGTGGGTTTTAAAAATATTTTTCATTCATTCAACAAACAATAATATGTTGCATATTTGGTCATAAAATATAGTATGATATATCATCCAAGCCATTTGTAGTGTAATTAGGAAAATAACAATAATGAAATGACAAAATGATACTCCTGGAAACTAACATGTATTAACTCTTTGTTTCAGGCTAGGTATTCTACTAACTGTTTTTAAGACATATCCCATTTATTCTTCCAAAACAGCCAAATGAAATATATATTACTATTAGTGATATATTACAGATGATGAAACAGATTTATAGACATTTAGGCCACCAAAGGCCATGTGAATAACATGAGGCACAGTTGAGATTTGAAGCCAGGTGTTCTGTATCTCAAATGCTATGCTCTTCACCACTGTATTACATCCTCTGCCAAAGTCATCTGGCAGAAATATTTCAAGATCAAAAGTAAGACCTGGATCTCCATGATTCCATCCCATCTTAAAAAGCTGTAGTAACCTTCTTAGAATATACTTTAGCTGTTTTCTTCATGGATAATTCATAATACAAAAGGTAAAAATAGATATGTCATGGCATGCAAGTCATTAGCCCGTGTTGGACAGTCCAAATAAAAGCTTTAGGAATGAGGCACACCTGCTAATTTATCACAGGGAATGGGAACTTGAGAGAACTAGAACGAACCTAAAGTAAATTACAAGGAAGTTTGGAGCAGATGCTCTGAACCTTTTTCTGCGCTATGATCCCTTAGAAATCTAATGAAATTCATGGATCTTTCTCCATAGATAAACTTACATTGTTTTCCATAATTTTTAGAGTTATAACAAATGGCATTAAAGACCTATGTGTTTCCTTAACCAGCTAAAGAACCAAGGTAAAGAATTCATGGTTCTCAGCTATACACAGTTTTATAGAGATAGACCCAATATTTGATTTCTGAAAATGAACTCATGGTAACTCTTTGGATTTAAGAGACAGACAGAAGCTTAAAAATGTCAGTTGCATGTAATAGCAGAACAAAATCAGTGGGAAATGGAGATGGGAACCTAAAGGCAGTCAGGTCAATTTTATTGCCACTGGCAAAGTAGTGATAGACGGAATAAATGTTCCATGTACCTCACAAATACGGAGGGCAGCAGTGCGCTGGAGACAGTGCACACCAGCTTGCAAGAGCCTATTTTTGCATACCTTTCTAACTATTCATTACATGATGTCATATTAGTAGCTTTAAATCACTGATAATGAAAATTTTTATACATAAACTGGTATTACATACCTTATGTAATACCACTGTTCAATTTAATTTAGTAGCATTGGGAACTTTTTCTGTTTTTAAATATTCAGTTTATCAGCACACAGTGACTGCAGGTATATTTTATATTTGACCTTATGGGAAACAACAAAAATTTTAAAAGTAATAAAAATATTACTGTGCACTCATGAAGATAAAAATCTTGTGTTTAAAACATCAACATGAACAAAAAATTCATGAAATAATAAATTTATTGGGATGATAATTCAAAATACAAAAGTAAAATTTTACCTTTTGTTTATGTTGACTTCTGAGTTGAAAGAGTATCCAAATGTGAATGCTGGAGAGGACTATTTTGTAAGAAACTCTGGAAAAGCGTCAGAAATATTGTATGACAATTTTACTACTCATGGAAAAATTATCTTCTGGTTTTAATGTCTATCTGTACACAGGAATGACAATTATGAAACACAAACATTTTTTTCTGTTTTTCCTCTACTTCAGCTTGCCTTAGGTGAACATAGATTACAAGATTTGTATTAGTAGCTTTAAAAACATCTTTTGATAGAACAATGCCATTATGCAAATGAATTCATTTATCGATTTAGTTTACAAATTTGGCTATACTTCCTGACTTTTATATTTGAGAGTCTTTTTCCTGGGTAATTCTACATGCCTGTTAGCTGCTTGGAACATCAGAAAGATAGATGTGGTAAAAATAATGTAATGTATACAAACATTATTAGAATAAGCACTCACTGCAATATTACAAACTGACAGCACAGCCACTAGCAGAAGATTTTTTAAGTTGTAATACTTTATCCAAGCAGAGTTTACTGCAAAAATGAAGGTAATAAAGAGAGAACGAGAGAGAGAAACTGTGGGAGGAAAGAAAAAATGGAGAGAGAAAAGAATAAATAGAAGGAAAGAAGATAGAGAGTAAAGGAAAGAGGGAGGGAAATTAAGGATGCAACTTAAGTAAGTTTCCAAACAGCCCATTAGCTACACCAAGCAAGGATGGTCATTTACTGTTGGTGAGTTAATTAAATCACTTTTTATTGTAGCAGCAGAAAATCTATAGCCAGAAAGAATGAATTTATTTAAGACTATGCCTATCTAATTGTTAGGGTCAAAGAACTCCTCAAATATTTGAGTACTCAACCCAAGCAGGTCTGTGATGTTACATCTGTATCCTGAGGAAAAATGTAGTAACAAGAAACATTGAGTAGAAACATCTAGGTGAGTGATCCATGAAGACACTGATTATGCAGAAATCCTTCTAATCCTTGGGCTTGCAGAGGTGGCCCACACTTCTCTGATAAAAACAGTCATTTCCACGATTTCCCATAACTCCATCTCCTGGAGCTGCCTCCATCTCCTGTACTGGCCACCAGAATGAACACTAGCATTAAATTCCAGCACAAATCTGTTGGGAATATGCTGGGCCTAGTAAAATAAGACAGAGATTATAACCTGAAGAATAGCAAAAATTAGCAAGTATTTTATGGCAAGAATCCATGAAATGCCCTCAGGATTGAAGACTGAGAATATGGATCAAGAGGTCAGAATAGAAGACTATATTGGCAAGAACACATCAATATAGGGCCATTTATTTGGAATGAAAATTTTAACACCTTAACAAGAACACCAAGGAATGTGGCTAATTTACTACTGAGTTACAATTAGCTAGAAAAAGTGTTGGACAACATTCAGCACATCAGAAATGACTGTACTGCCCTAGTAGATGGGAAAGGAAATAATATAGAGGCTGATGACAGTGAGCATGCTGGAATAGGCAGATTGTGTAAAGGTGGAAGACTTATCATACACTTTCCATAAAAGTGCACAGAGGACACATCATTCAGAAGCCACTGGAAATGGGGTGTGAAAACGATACCAACATATCTAAGCTGAATAGTAGCTCTTTTCTGCTGATCAGGGAGGCCAGCAATAGCCAGTCAACAAGCCAGGCTACCCATGCATATGAGGAGGCCTTGACATAATAGAAGCCAGGTAGCAGTGGTTAACCACCAAAAGCCAGAGCTACGATTATCATAGGAACCAACAAGATCTGAAGGGTAGACAAGTGGGCTTAACGAGCAAGTTGGTGTGCACATGGATAATACAGCATAACCTCCCTGGGCCAAAATAGACAAGGAGTCAACAAGGTGTTAGGTAATGTTTACTACAAAAAAGAAAAGAAAGAATAGAGGAGTGAGAGCTGTCAGTCTTTGATGTGGGCTTGCCCTTGAGTTAAAGAGAGAAGAAAGAAAGAAAGTTTGGGTAGAGAGAAGCATCCTAGACTGTATTGCAGTTCTGAACAGATTTAGGCAAGGCCATTGGGTATCCACAAATCAAAATCCCTGTCTGCACAGTTCTGTGCCTTCCAGAAATGGACCTACCTCAGTTTCTCTGCCACAGTCAGTGACTGCCTAGAAACAGCTCCTGGGAAATGGGGCTTACATAGAATATAATAATGAACTCGGATTGTTGGTGCTTATAATCTGACATATGAAGAGAATATTTTAATAACCGTCGTATGTGTTGAATTAAGAGGAAAATAGGGAAGGAGTTGCAAGGAGAAACCAACCAACCAAACCTTGAGACAAAGAGAAGCCAGAGCAGCTGTGGGCTGCTCAACAGAAGTTTGAAAGTTTCATGTGTCTCCCTTGAAGTTTCAAATACTCAGAAAATGGGGTTTCAGCATAAAGGATATGTGAAATTTTTTTTGTATTTTTGTACAACTTTTTCATAGCTCAGAAATTATTTTGAAATATAATGTTAAAATTATCCAAGAGAGCATCTCTTTAACTCTGCTTGGGTCAGATACCTAACTGTCATGTGCACAGGCCCAGTATATTAGACCCATTTCTATTCTGGGGTCTATTATCAGAAAAGGGGGATAATTTTTTGCCAAAGAACTAGCTAATACCAGTCACCTACCTCTCTTTACCCAAAGAAGTGCACTAAGAACATTTAATTAATGACATATATTTTAAGGCAATGGTCATTATCCTGGGTGTTAAATTGAATAAGCAAAAGAATATTGACAATTTTATAATTTCCCTTTTAGCAAAACTGCCTAAGGCAAAAGTAATAAGGATTACAAAATTATGATTAGATGAATAACAAAAGTTACATAAAATTATGAAGTAAACAAATTTATTAACCTGCCACGTCTTTCCTGCAGCTCCACAGGGAAGAATGAGACATTTTGACACAAAGATTAAAAAGTAATAAAGATTAAAATTTTACTTTATTAGGCAGAGGCACAGTAAAATATCCCTTCTGTATAATTTAGATGCTTTATAAAATTATCCTGTTTATTATATTATAGAATTACTTATTCTGACGGCTTTAGGAATCCAATTTTTATTTTAGGAATCAAATTTAATACTAAATTTTTAATGCTAATAACAAATAGTGCTACATACCATTAAACTTTAACTAATAATTATTCATCTGTGACAATTTAGGAGAATTAAAAAATGTGCAAAAACATCTACAAAAAATCTATGGCAACTTGTCTGTGTTTCTGTACCATTACTCTGTTTCATAAACAGAAAAACCCATTAGCCAAAACTAATTTCCACATAATTATGCATTTATTTGTTGAGTTAGTATTTATCAACACCTATGAAATATGAAAATAAATAAAGCATGCTGTGGAAGGGCATATACTCTCATAAAGCATTTCTAACCATGTCTTCCTACTAAAATTATCCACATGCCCTTCAGTACCTCAAATTCAGCAAGTCCAAAACCAAAGTAATTAGTTTCTTTTATTAGCATTCTGATTATGTTTTGATAAATGAAATTATTCTTGATCACAAAAGATGTAAAGTTGCAATTTTCTTTCATTGAAGAAAACTGACTCTGCCCTCCTCGGACCTCTGGCAAGATGTCTTTCTGTTTTAATTTCTATTTGATCAAAGCTGAGAATTTCTGATCTCCCTTTGTGATGCCACCCTTTGTTCACCCAACCAAGCCTGATTTGTCAATGTCCTGTTTGACCTCTGTCTCTATTTTCACCATTCAAACTGGTAACGTTTAACATAAATACAGTTCTTTGATGCAGATTTTATATTATTTCTCACTGCCTGCTTCATCATTCTGTGTCTTCAGAATCTCTTAGGCACATTCTATCAAATGGTCTCCTTATTCTAATTTATCCTCGACATAGATTTCAGATTAATCTTATAATGGAATTACAATATTGGTTAATATAGCCTTCAATATTTTCACTTGCTCTCCAAATTGTAAATAAATTTCACCTGCCAAGAAGATACTAAATCCCAATCCTGTGTACTTTTCTTTAAAATTTTCAGGGATTATGTCACCACTCTATTTTGCTGAAAAAGAAACTGATCTCTATTGCTATGTCTTTTCTTTGAGCTACAGTTATTAGCAAAGCAGTTTTGGGGTTTCCTCGTTCTGTAACACAGAACTTTGCTCTCAGCAAAGAAAGTACATGAAGCATTTGCCTCCCACTCTAGTGAGTCTCCTTTTTCTGTGTTTTTCCACTTTCTAAAAGTATATAACAAAGAAACAAGTACAATTTTTATATAAGTTCTACTGAACAAGCTTGCTAGATCAACCAGAAGTTTCATTTCCTCTGAAAGTATACTGAATGACAATAGCTGCCAGTTGAATAATTACAACTCATTTTCTAAATAGCAGTTTCTCACTGGTCCCAGTAAGTGATCTATCAGCTGTCAGTGTTTTTATCTTGACTATCTTGATTATTATTATTTGGATAAAAGACATAGTTCATGCAAAGAAGATGATGTGGAATTTCAATCTGCAAAACTGTACTTAAAGGCCCTAACTGTACATTGAAATAGTTTTTCTGATTCCTCTGTCATCAACCTTATTAAAAAGCAAACTTAACCATTAACCAAAATAGAGTTGGATAAAATGACTTCTATTGTGTTTGTTTATATAATTCTCTTTTCTATACTATGAAATATATTTCAAGAGAGGGGAATAAATTAATTCAGTAATATTACTGACCACTGATTTTATGTCAAGCATGGTGTTCATCAGCACTTGTCAAGTAAATATTGAAATGTGCTTTAGCTTGAACAGCTAAGATTAAATAATATAATGTATCTGACTAGAAAATAGTAATCACTATACAGAAGTTAATCAATATAATCCTTGAGGAAAAGGCAGGTCTTTTTTTTTTTCTGTTTGTTGCTTCCACTTGAGTTCCCAACCTGCTAAAACTTTTTTCCTCTGTTGAAAAGTCAGCTCCCATGGAGCCCTCGACCTGATCATTCTGTTTTGCAGCTTGCTTTCAAATTGTAGGAATCCATTTGCTTATTCTAACAGACATTTAAAATACATATACTATGGAACTGGCATTATGCTATTCCCTGAAGATACTTCCAAATCATCTAGCAACCAAAGTACATAAAAATCTGTATAACACATTATCAAGAAACATATAGCAGAACAAAAACCTGGAAAAAATACTAGACTCTCATCTTAAATGCCTTATCCATCTCCAAAGCAATGATTCAATTTCATTTTTAATTGAAACCTGTACACACAAGCTTCCTATGTCAATATGTTTATTTTCCCTGATGTGATTTTTCTCCACTTAAGCATCCACAATTCCTGATGGTAACTAACTCACCCAAGGGGGAAAGAAGTCCAGTGTAACAGCATGGCGCAAAAATCGCACAGAGGCACACTTATCTCAGCTGAGTAAATGACTCTACAATTAAGATTCCTTATAAGTTTTCCATTCATAGAGGTAAATGGGTCACCTTCTTATACCCCACTGTGAGTAAGAGCAAGAGAAGCTCTCCTCCCTTTCTGAAGTCCAAATCAAGTAGCTGCTCTCAGATCAGAAACAGGACTTATCTGTGTCTTTAACAAATGCCCGTGATGACTTTTAAACATCATAAGTGATTTAGCATAGATAAACACAAGGAAGAATTTATTGGAAGTGAAATTAAAGACAAAAATTCACCTAGTCTTCTGGCATTTCTCCTTCAACGCTGTTATTTGCATCCCTTCCAATTCTCCACACCTTGAAAGGTAAGGCTCTTCCCACTTACCCTTGGTCCCTGACCTCCAAGCCGTTTGAGTTTCAGACTCCAATCACCCTCCACTGTTTTGTTCACTTCTGTGGTCCTGGTGCCTATTCAGAAATCCTGAATTCCATATAGATATTTTGTTTTCATCCATTAAGCTAATCATAGCAAAAAATTATACTTCTTATATGTATGTATTTCCTGCCATACATCATAACCAAATCCCAAAATAAAGTCACTGGTACACTATCACACTGTCACTATCACTATATTATATTTTGAATTGGTTTACGCCTATGCCAGCACATTTATTCTAGTCTGTCTCTTAGGTCTGCATTAATCTGATGCATTTCCTTTTAATTTGGTTCGCAACACCAGAGAGATAGAGTGGCACAGTAAAAATGACCACACCTTTAGGGTCAGAGAGTCCTGGATTCACACAATGGCTCCATGAAATCTATCAATGTCAGGCCAGGTGTGGTGGCTCACGCCTATAATCCCAGCACTTTGGGAGACCGAGGCAGGTGGATCACAAGGTCAAAAGATCGAGACCATCCTGGTCAACAAGGTGAAACCCTGTCTCTATTAAGAATACAAAAATTAGCTGGGCATGGTGCTGCGTGCCTGTAGTCCCAGCTACTAGGGAGGCTGAGGCAAGAGAATTGCTTGAACCCAGGAGGCAGAGGTTGCAGTGAGCTGAGATCATGCCATTGCACTCCAGTCTGGGTAACAACAGTGAAACTCTGTCTCAAAAAAAAAACAAAAAAAGAAAAAAGAAATCTATCAATGACATCAATAAGTCATTCACTCTAACCTCACCTGAAAATTGGGAATACTAGTCACAGCCTATTAAAGATGCTGTTAAAGTTACACATGTATAGATATGTAGTGAGGAAACTGGCTCAATGTTAATTGTTCTTCTCTCTGAGAATATTATATCCATCCTCTTATCTATTTTCCTATGTTTCAACTGGCTCATATTTCGGCCCAAGCCCCAAACATTGAGGCTCGTTATCTCAGTGCCTCGGCTCATCATGCGCTTGGTACAGTCATTGCTCTCCCTCCATGTAGTTGGTTAGCTTTGTAACATTCCGTAGATGCTGTTTCTAAATTCAGAAAAATTATAATAAAGGATCCATCTCAAATCCTTCTTTATAAATAGGCAAATACATTAATTAATTAATTAAATGAATTTAGTCCATGGCATTTTCAATCACAGAAATGCCATTTTGTCATTCTGGGGAGACTCTACAAAATAAGTGTGCCAGTTGCTTTGTCAAATCATATGATGATAACTGACTTTTCTCCAAAGCTGGATCTAACTCCAGATTTGTCTTTACCTGAGACGGCTAATACTCTAAAAAATCTGACTTCATATTCCTCTTTGTCTTGTCTTTGTCTAAATAAAATACTCTTTATCTTGAGCACCCTTACTGCTTAGGGGCTAGATAAGGATAAGCCCCTTGTGATCTTTTCCTAAAACCTTCAGGCACAGATCCAATTCATGTCTAATTACACCCATGAGTTTCAGCAACGGAAAATAGGATTTGACTAGTGAGAGGCCACTGGGTGGTGGCAAATGCAGGAAGGGTATCAGGCCCAGACTGTGGCCTACCTTGAGACCAAGCTCAGGACAGCCATCCTCTTTTGTGCACACTGGAGATGATGAGAAACGACCCATGTACAAGCTGGTGATATTTTTGTCCTTGAATTAAATGAAGAAACACTACATTGGAAAATATCAATGGAGCTAATAAGTTAAAAACATAGATGTTGTTTCTCTCCTAGTAATCACAGAATACAGCAATCTGTTCTAAGCTCTTTTAGTACAAATGAGAAATAAAGCCAGCTTCCGAACTTGAGGAATTAGAACAGTCTCATATGTAATATTTTAATCTATTAACATTGTTTATTACCTTGAAACTAAAAGGTTATTTTGAGGGTTAAGTGTGCAAAGTTGGCACTCAATATTTATTATTCAAAGAAGTAATTAGCAAATGATGAAGGAATAATTTATATACATGTCATGCACACTAGCAACAGTGGCTTTTGTCGATACTACTAGCAACTTCAGAGAAATTAAATTGTTGATTGAAAAATAGTTTTTCTGACCCTTTTGAAAAATAACTACATATGTGCTTCTTGTTGCTGGGTGAGAAATACTACTTTATACACAGCTCTGGTTTTCTATTCGCAGATATGATTGATGTATTACACCAAAATAAAGTATTTTTATGTTTATAAAGTGTAATTTTTAGATTCACTTAGAATATATTTAATAAGTTAAAATTATTTTGGCACACTATTAAATGCAAAAACTCCTTTCAAAACAAAAAAGAACTACCTTATATTCAACATTTAATGTTCTTGGCCTCTGCTTTGATGTCTATACAATATACTGAGTTCAGTATGGTGTCCAAGAGTGCCCTCTGTGGATAGACAGGCACATTCCTTCAGGAGTGGGTACTGATTCCAGACTACAGATGCCTATTATTAGTTAGGCTTCTGAGATTGCAAACATATTGAATGTATGAAGAGCGAAATAAAATCAAGTCCTTATTTTTGTACAGTTTTGAAGTTTATACTTAGAACTGACCACCTCCCCAGCCATGTGGAGAGCTGTACAGTGTGTAAATCTGCCTTTATCTTGGATTGATTGGTACAGTATTTTTGCCTCTGTGGGACCTAGCTTTGTGTTCAGTAGTTTGAACTATATATAAACTGTACAATCTGTAAAGTTTTTATAGAACAAATATTCAGCTGTGAAAACTGGTTAAATAAAACTAATATTTCTTAACACAGTTAAAAAAAAAAAAAGGAAATGAAGTCTTAAGTGCTTGAAAAATGACAAATTTTACTTAAACACTCTACAACATAAGTGTGCCAGTTTTCCTGCAGCCTAACCATCCGTACTAATCTTTGTCAAGGTTAATAACAATTGTTTCAATTAGCACTTCTTTGGCTGACTATGAGACTGAAAAGTCTTCCTGTATTAACTACTAGTGCTTTGGAGAATTCTGTTTTTAATTCTTTTTGTCAAATTTTTTGTCATTTTATAAAAGTTAAATAGTAAACACAATATTTAATTGAATGTTACATATGCTTCAAATATTTCCCCAAATTTATGATTACCCTTTTAAATTTGTGGAATTTTTTTTTGCTATAAAATGATTATTTGAATTTTACCAAATCAAATGTTTACCTCTACAATTTATATATTTGGTTTTATATTTAGAAATTTTTTCTACTACAGGATTATATAAATATTTACCTGTATTTTATTCTAAAATGTATGTGACTTTTTGATATTTTCATATTTAACCATCAGAAAACAATTTCAGTGTGTATTGTGGTGATATGCTTTATTTTAGGTTTTTTTTTTTTCCAAATGGATGACCAGTTTACCTAACTTCTTGTATTCAATAACTCACTTTATTTCTACCAGTTTTAAAGTCTACCTTTATATGTAACTAAATGTTCACTTGTGCCTCTTCCTGTGCTTTTAATTCTGTCTCAGAGACAAACACTGCCCTACTTACTTTTTTTGAAATGTTTTCTAGTTATTTCATTAAAATTCATCATACAATATGTAATATTCTACTTTCACTCAGCATAATATATTTGGGGTACATTCATGATGTAGCACTTATTAGTAATTGTTTCCTTTTTTGCTGAATAGTTTTTTAGCCTAAGGGTATTCCACAGTTTGTTCACCAGTTAATCAACTGTTTCAATTCTGGGCTATTATGAATAATGTTGTTATAAACGTTTGTATACATGTATTATGTGTACATATGCTTTCATTTCTCTTGGTAGAGTCCAAGGAGTATAATTTCTGAATCATACGGTAAGTTTATGTTTCAATTTTTAAGAATCTGTAAATCTATTTGTCAAAGTGGCTGTATCATTTTACACTTCCACAAGCAATGTATGCTCAGTTTCTCCACATGCTTATCAACACTTTGTATTTTCCCTTTTTTCCCTTTCCTTTCCTTTCCTTTCCTTTCCTTTTCTTTTTCTCTTTCTCTTTTTTTTTCTCTCTCTCTCGTTTATAGCCACTCTAGTGGGTGGATAATGGTATTTTTTTGCAGTTTAAATTTTTATTTCTTAATTTTAATGTTATTTTCCTAATGCTCATCTTTTCTTGTGCCTATTAGTCATTTTTGTATATGTTTTGGTGAGATGTCTATTCAAATATTTCGTCCATTTTTAATTGGATTGTTCGTCTCTTTATTGAGCTGTAAGAGTTCTTTATATTTTTTGTATGAGTTTTTATGCAAACATTTTCTCCCAGTCTCTTTTCTCTATTCTTATTTTCTTAATGGTGACTTTTTTTTCCCATTTATTTATTTTATTGCATTTTAGGTTTTGGGGTACATGTGAAGAACATGCAAAATTGTTGCATAGGAACACACGTGGCAGTGTGATTTGCTGCCTTCCTCCCCATCACCTACATCTGGCATTTCTCCCCTTGCTATCTCTTTTGTTTAAAATCTGATATTGACCATTTTATTTAATGGCTCACACTTTTAGTATGGTATCTAATAATGTTTTGCCTAACCCAAGGTCATAAAATCTCCAACATTTTTTTCTAGAAATTTTTTTATTTTTAGATCTTACATTCAGGTCTGTAATCCATTTTGAGCACCATTTGTTGAAAAGTCTATCCTTTCTCTCATATAATTTTCTTGACACCTTTGCTACAAATCAATTGGCTATAATGTAAGTATTTAAATCTGAACTCTCCAATTTGTTCTATTAATCTATATGACTGTCCTTATGCTGTGTGTCTTAATTGCACCAACTTAATGTTAAGCTGTGAATCCTTGTAGTGTAAGTACTCCAAATTGTTTCTTCTATTCCAAAACTGTAAGTCTTTTGCATTTCCATATAAATTGTAGAATGAGTGTCAATTTTTACAGGAAAAAAATGATCTGTTGATATTACATTGAATTTATAGATTCATTAAGGGAAAACAGCCATTCCAATGCTATTGAGTCTTCTAATACATTTACATATGATGTCTCTCCACTTATTTATATATCTTTTAAAATATTTATCAGCAGTGCTTTGTAGACATCAGTGTCTTGGTCGTGTGTGTGTGTGTGTGTGTGTGTGTGTGTGTGTTTGTAATTTTTTTAACATTATACTTGTAGCAAGGATTATTGTCAAACTCTACTCACTAGGCCAAAGACCCTTGTGGTGGTAGTGAAAAATTTGACCCTCACATATCACACTACCCACACTTACAAGTTTATCAGCCAGTTAGGGCCCCAGCTCCACGTTCTAATAACGTGCAATCTCCATTTGTTTTCACATATTTCAATCTTCTTTCTGCATCATCCATGGCATGTTTTGTAAAGGACTTTTTTAAATATTTTAATTTTTTGGTGAAACCAGCTTAATTTCCATTTCTTTATAAGAAATCCATATTTTCTGCCTGAAAGCTTGTAATTTTTAAAAAATGTATTTAAGTCAAATATTTTATGCTTGTTCTCATCTTCCTGATCTTACCTGGAATAAAATGAGCCCTTTCATCCTCCATGCACCGGAGTCTTTCCTTTGGAACAGTCATTTTTATTCTATTTATTTTTGTTTACTTTACCTGAGACCCTAGTTATCTGTATGTTGGCTTTTCATTTTGTGACCTTCCCAAATACAATTTTCTCACTATTTTATTTTCACTGTATTTTTTTCTGTGCATTATGAGAGAATTTTTCAAATGCATTCTCCAAATTGAATTAACCTGGTTACTGTCCCTTGACTCTGTTTTTGATTATGTCCAATGTGTACTTTAATTCTATTTTTTTAGTATTTTATTATTTTGACTTTTTGTCCAGCATGTTCTTTGTTTTCCCATAATACTATCGGATGCTATTGCCTACATTACCTTAAGGATGTTTTCTTGTTAGTTCTGCAGAAGTTTTTATATCTATGACATTGATAACTGAGTCATTGTGATGTGATAGGTAATATGCTTCATGATTTACAGACATTATTACATTTCTTTATATATGCTCATGCTCTGGATTTTCCAGATGCTGTTCCTTTATTAATGAAATATTTTAAAGATTCATGCTAGTATTTTTTTTTCTTTATATACTCTCTAGTGCAAAACAAGATCTCCTCAGTCTTTATTTTTTTTCTTAAAAAAATCTATGTATGGGGCTTGCTCATTGTTGCTGTCCCAATAAGCATTATTATATGGAATGCAGTTTCTGGTATAATTCCCAGTTTCTAGCAGCCTGCAGATAACATCCAACCAATACTGTATAGTTCTTTGCCAGCTTAAAACCATAAGGGAAATTTATAAACCTAAATTCCCAAAATATGCTGTTTTATTTCACTCCCTTCTGTACATGGGCTAATACTAATTTCAAAATTCAATGTATCTCTACCAATGACACCCCTTATACCATTATTTTTGGCTATTTTTCTTGAGATGAGATGTCTGATACAAGAATAAAGTCCTTGTTACTTTATAGTTAAGCAACCTACAAAAATAAATGCCCAGTTCTCACCTTTTTATCTTAGTACAGACTCTGCATTCCTTAGTAAAGACTATGGAGATGTATAAATTGTGGGCCTATATTTTGACTTCATATCTGTCCACATCCATTTCCATTTCCATTTCCATCAGTTTGGAGAAGTTAACCATTTCCAAATTTTCTAGATTTAGAATATTCATCAGTTTAGTATCAGTGCTGCTTTCATTTGATTTTTTATTTGTGATGAAAATTTAATAAAAAGTTGGGAAATACTCTTTCAGATACTGCCAATTAAAATCACTTTAAAATGCAAGTCTACTTTACATCTTAGAAAAAACTGATAGCAACATGGTGTGTGAACTAGAAAAAGTCAAATAAAAACAGAAATTAGTGATCAACAGATAAAAGGTGAGAGTATATGCAGATTTCTGAATTAGGCAATTTCATATATGAAGCTACCACAGATTTATACATCCACTATAGATCTATAGAGCTACCACAGAGCTATTAATCAAAGTGGGGAAAATAGAATATACAAGTAGTCATTCTGTGACAAAGACTGAATTTAGATGCAATCATGCTGTGTTTGAGCTTGCTTTGAGATATTTAAGATGGAAGAATCTAAGAGTTAGGCACGTGGCTCTAATATTCAGGAGATTAGTGTGAGAAGAAGATGAAAACTTTAAAGTAGAAAAATGAATATATAAAAGCCATTGTCCATGGAATGCATGCTGTTGAAAGTATACAGAAAAAGACAACATGTTTGGAGAAATAGCCAAACTAATTTTCATCTACAGCTATAAGTAAGTAGTAGTCAATTATATGATAAATCTTGTGTAAAAATGAGCATACTTAGAATAAATTTGGTTTGTAAAAATAGTGGAAATCATAAAAACATAAAAGTATATTTTGAGCAATGCCTTCATTTTATAATAAATATGCTGTTTCCACAATGGATCAATGGATTAATTTGATTTATAGCATCCAATATTATCTTAAGTATTTACTATTTGCAAAAAAACAAGTTTTAATAACATAATTATGTATCATACAATATGTAGACAATCCTGAAATAAAATTGTTCAAGCCTGAACCATAGAAATTTTACATAATCAGAAATTTTCGAAGATAGGCATCTCTTCCACATTTACTTTATTTATTAATAAAGTATTATTAACTGAAGAAGGATTATGTTATAATTATCATCATTACTATTGTGATTAGACAATGTAATATAGTTGTTAATAGCACAGCCTCTAGCATCTTTTTCTTTTTCTCCGATTGATTTCCAATATCATATCTTTCAGTTTTTATGCACTTTGGCAATTTATGCACTTTCAAACTTCATTTTATGCATCTGTAATAAAAATACCCCTCTTTTAGTTTGTCACAAGACTCAAATGAAATAGTCTATGTTAAATAATTAGAGCAGAGTATGGAAATGGTCTTATCATTCACATAATATTATTTATCTGACTAATCCTATAACAGAACAAAGGTCAGATGAAAGACCAGAGCATACATGTTACAAAAGAAGCTCATTATTTGCCTCACTCATTTTTATCACAACAGAAGCAGGTTTCATAATCATAAACAGGGCAGTATTTTAATGTTACAAACTAAGAAGAATATCAAGCTTCACGTTCATAGGAACTGAAACATCTCTTTCCTATTAAACACATATAATGAAGCAAGATGAATGGGCATTACCTGGGGTGAATTCTTAGGTAAATGTAGTTACTGAAAAGAGATGTTTTCCTGCTTACTAAACGAATTAAATGAAATTTGGTATCTAAGTTAATAATTCTAAAATTCCAAATCACAATTAGTCAATTATCTTTCTATACCAAGGCCTAATCACAGTTAAATAGAATTTTTCAGGAAGAGCAAATAAAGGTAAATCAATTGACAAATGCATACTGAATATGTATTATGAGCAAACAACTCCACTAAACATGGATTAGCCCAAAATATCCCTTATTCTCATAATCCAGTTGAAGGATAAAATTTTAATTAAAATGATGAGAATACAAGATAAGTGGTAAATATAAAATAAATGTATTTAAATAAATTGAAGTTAAATTGAAATTAATTATCTTAGTTCAGTGATTAATCTCACAGACAAAATATTGAATGAAAGAAGTTAAACACAAACAGTATGTAATACATGATTCTATTTATATAAAAATCAAGTATAGGAAGAGATAATTATGGTAATAAAAGTCAGAATAATGATTACTATTTGAAAGGACAATGATGAGGATGTGGCATTACGGGGACTTCTGGTTCCTGATAATGTTCAATCAGTTGATCTTGGATGTGGTTACACAGCTACATGTGGATGTCAAACTTCCTTGAGCCGTACTCTGAAGTTTTTTGCATTTTACGGAATGTATGTGAAACTTCAACTAGAATAATTTTCAAATTCTAAATTTAGGAAGTCAAGATCCTACAAGAGAATTCTGCTCCCAAAGGCCATAATGCCAATATTCCATAATTCCACTTCTCCTACTTTCTTCTTGACGGGGGTCCCTGGACTTGAATGGGCCCATGTCTGGATCTCCATCCCCATCTGTTGCCTCTATTTAACTGCCCTTTCTGGGAATACCCTGATCCTTTTCGTCATCCTCACTGAGCCAAGCCTCCATGAGCCCATGTACTATTTCCTCTCCATGCTGTCCACCACTGACATTGGCTTATGCATCTCTACACTGGTGACAGTGCTGGGAATATTGTGGGTCAATGCTCGGGAGATCAGCTTCAATGCTTGTTTATCACAGATGTTCTTCATTCACCTCTTCACTTTCATGGAATCTTCAGTGCTCCTGGCTATGGCCTTTGATCGTTTTGTAGCCATTTCTAACCCCTTAAGATATGTTACCATTCTAACGCATGCAAGAATCGCACAGATTGGTTTGGCAATCATTACCAGGGGGACTGTCATTTTGACACCTCTAGTCATACTTCTTAAGCAACTGTCATTCTGCCGCAGCCACATGCTCCACCACTCCTACTGTTTCCACCCTGATGTAATAAAACTCTCATGTTCAGACACAAAGATCAACAGTGCATTAGGATTAACTGCAATCATCTCTACTGCCGGAGTGGACTCCATCTTTATTGTGCTCTCCTATCTGCTGATCATTCGCTCAGTTCTCAGCATTGCATCCACACAGGAGAGGAAGAAGGCCTTTAGCACTTGCATTTCTCATATCACCGCTGTTGGCATATTCTATGTCCCTTTGATCAGCCTGTCCTTTGTTCACAGATTTGGAAAACATGCCCCACCCTATGTGCCCACCCTCATTGCTAACATATACTTGCTCATCCCCCCTGTGATGAATCCCATCATCTACAGTGTGAAAACGAAGCAGATTCAGAAAGCTGTGCTCAAATTTGTATGTTCCAAGGGAATTCATATTTAACATGTACTACTCCTAAATACTTATTTCAAAGTCTAGAAAATTCACCACAAGTTGGAGTTACAAACCCATGCATGCAATTTTAGAGTTGTGTGAAACTGAATGCCATCCGATTCAAATGTCTCCACAATGTGATTATCATTGCTAAGCAATCTCTTTTCTACCAACAAGGTACTGATTGAGATTCTCATTATCTTAGTTACCTGGTTCCAACAGATGACTAACTGAACTAATGTTTCAATGCTGTTTCTGCTCAATGATCGCATTATTCACTTTGAATTAAGATTCCAAATTATCTAAGAAAAATTTTTAAATGAACAAATAAATGCATCTTTTATGTTTATTTCTCATGCACCAACTAAATGAAGCAGCAAATCCTGTCTATGGTCATTTCCTCCACAACTCAGGCTTAGCTTTTCTTTAAATTTTCATTCACTTTTTTTCTCTTTTCCCATACTCTGCAGTGTAAAAATGCCAGTCTGCTTACGACTTCTTCAAATGCATGCAGTTTTTTCATGGTGGGCTTTACTGTTGACTCCACTTCAACACCTACTTCACTTTGAAATTCTACTTATGTTTCAAGATTCATCTTTAAATATCTTCCTCATTCAACATTTTATGATTGCTCAAATGATATTTGTTCTCTCCTTATAATTTTCCTTTCATATTGCTTTGTTCATAACAGTTTTGCCTTTATATGTGTACACACCTGTGTGTATATTATTATAGCTTTCACAAGACTGTACATTTCTTAAATAAAAAGTCTTGATTTTATTTGAAGCTTCCATAACACTCAGCAGAACACCTTTCACATAGCAGATACTTATTGATAGTTGTTGAATTGAACTATACATAAAAACCTATCAAATAGTCTATCTCAAAATTCCAGTGATAACTCCTTTGATTCAATATTTGACATGTGTAAAACAAGAAATTTTCAACTGTGTAAAATTTTTTTGCCGATATTACCTGGTAATTGGTCATAGCTCTAACTTTCCAAACTACAGAGTTAAATGGCTATTTTGGAAGTTTCGGTCTCAGAAAGCTGTCCCCGTTTGGACCCACATACAATACACATGTACTTCTTGTCTGTTCTTTAAAAAAAATAGATTTGGGGGGCAAAGTTTTGTTACATGGATATATTGCATAGTGGAAGTCTAGGCTTTTAGTATAGCCATCAACCAAATAGAGTACATTATACTCATTAAATAGTTTCTCCTCTCTGACCCCACTTCCACCCTCCTACGCTTCCCAGTCACCAATGCCTATCATTCCACTCTAAATGTCCATATGTGCACATTATTTAGCTCTTACTTGTGAGAGAGAGCATGCAGTATTTTACTTTTTGAGTTATGTCACTTAAGATAATGTCCTCTAGATCCATCCATGTTACTGCAAAATACATCTCTTCATTCTTTTTTATGACTGAGTACGATTCCATGGTGTCTACTCACCACATTTTCTTTATCCAGTCATCCAGTGATAGACACTTAGATTGATCCCATATTTTTGCTATTGTTAAGAGTACTGTAATAAACATATGAATACAGATATATATGTATATATATATATGTGTGTGTAATAAACACATAAATACAGATGTGTGTGTGTGTGTATATATATATATATATATATATATATATATAATAATTTATTTCCCTATGGGAAGCTACTCAGTAGTGGAATTTCCAGCTCAAATAGTAGTTCAATTTTTGGTTCCTTGAGAAATCTCCACAGAGCTTTCCATAGAGGTTCTAGTAATTTACATTGCCACCAACAGTGTGTAAGTGTTCTCTTTTCCCCACATCCTCACTAACATCTGTTATTTTTTGACTTTTTACTAATAGCCCTTCTGATTTGTATTTCATTGTGGTTTTAATTTACACTTCTCTAATGATTAGTGGTGTTGAGCATTTTTTATAAGCTTGTTGGCCATTTGTATGTCTTCTTTAGAAAACTGTCTGTTAATGTCCTTTGTCCACTTTCTAATAGTTACTTGCTATTTGCTGTTCTTGAGCTGTTTGAATTTCTTGTAGATTTTGAATATTAGCCATTTGTTAGATGCACAATTAGAAAATATTTTCTCCCCTTCTGCAAATTACCTGTTTACTCTGTTGATTATTTCTTTTGCTGGGCAGAAACTTCATAGTTTAATTGAGCCCCATTTATCTTTGTTTTTGTTGCACTTGCTTTTCAGGTCTTAGTCATGAACTCCTTGCCAAGGCAAATGTCCAGAAAAGTTTTTCCTAGCTTTTCTTCTAGTATTTTTATGGCTTCAGGTCTTACACTTGAGTCTTCAATCAATCTTGAGTTAAATTTTGTACATAGTGAGAGATAGGGGTTCAGGTTCATTCTGCATATGGCAATCCAATTTTCCCAGCGCCATTTATTTAATAAGGTTTCTGTCCTTTTCCAAGTGTATGTTTTTGTTAACATTGTAACAGATAAACTGGCTGTAGATATGTGGCTTTATTTCTGGGTTCTCTATTCTGTTTCATTGGTCTATATGTCTTATACCAGTAGCACACTCTTTTGCTTACTATAGCCTTGTAGTACAATTTCAAGTCAAGTAATGTGATGCCTGCAGCTTTGTTCTTTTGGCTTAGGATTGTTTTGGCTATTCAGGCTCTTTTTTTTCCATAAGAATTTTATATTTTTTTTATTCTGTGAAAAATCATTTTGGTAATTTGTTAGCTATTACATTGAATCCACAGATTGCTTTGGCAGTATGGTCATTTTAACAATATTGATTCTTTGATCCATTATTATGGGATTTTTTTCCATTTGTTTGTATCATCTACATTTTCTTTCATCAGCATTTTGAGTTTTCCTTGTAGAGATCTTTCACCTCCTTGATTAAAACAATTCTTATGTATACTCCATAGCTATTGTAAATAAGGTTGAGTTCTTAATTTGGTTCTCAGCTAGATAGCTGTTGGCATTTAGAAATGCTACTGATTTTTGTATGTTGATTTTGTATCCTGAAATTTTACTGAATGTATTTATCAAATCTCGTAGTCTTTTGGTGGAGTCTTTAGGATTTTCTAGGTATCCAATCATATCATCAGCAAATAGAGATAGTTTGATTTCCTCTTTTCCAATTTTGATTGTTTTGTTTCTTTCTCTTCCCTGATTGCTCTGACTAGAACTTCCAGTACTATTTTAAATAAAAATAGTGAAAGTAGGCATCCTTGTCTTGTTTCAGCTCTTACAGAAAATGTTTTCAACTTTTTCCCATTCAATATGATGTTGGCTGCAGGTTTGTCATATATGGCTTTTATCATTTTCAGGTATGTTCCTTCTATGCCTACTTTGTTGAGAGTTTTTATCATGAACTCATGCTGAATTTTATCAATTGATTATTCTGCAATTATTGCCATGATCATAGGGGTTTTTAAAATTTGTTTATGTGATGAATCATGCTTACTGGTTTGCTTATGTTGAGACATCATCCTTGAATCTGTGGAATAAAACCCACTTCAGTGTTGTGTAATATTTTTGATGTGCTGTTGGATTCAGTTTGCTAGTATTTTTACTAGCAAACTGATAATTTGATTTCCTCTTTGGTACCAATTCTTCCTTCTATGTCTAGTAGAATTTGACTATTAATCCATCTCGTTCTGGATTTGTCTTTTTTGGGGAGATTTTGTATTACTTATTCAGTTTTACTAATCGTTATTAGTCTGTTCAGGTTTTCTACTTCTGTTTCAATCTTGGAAGTTTATATTTCCAGGAACATATTCATTTTCTTTAGGTTTCTAGTTTGTGAGTGTAGAATTGCTCATAGTTGTTTGCAATGATCTTCTGTGTTTCTATGGTACCAATTGTAATGTCTCCTTTTTCTTTTCTGATTGCACTTATTTGAATTTTCTCTCTTTTTTGTATTTTATTTTTTTATTATACTTTAAGTTCTGAGGTACATGTGCAGAACATGCAGATTTGTTACATAGATATACACATGCCATGGTGGTTTGCTGCATCCATCACCCCATCATCTACATTATTTACTTCTTACTAGGTGGAAAAAAATTTTGAAAAGACTATATACTGTATGATTCCAACTATATGACATCCTAGAGAAGGCAAAACTTTAGAGACATTATAAAACTCAATGGTTTCCAGGCATGTGGAGGGAAAGAAAGGTGAATAGACAGAGAACAGAGGACTGTTTAGAGCAGTGGAATTATTCTGCATGATGCTAAAATGGAAGATACATATGTCATTGTACGTGTATAAAATCCATAGAACACACAACACCAACAGTGAACCATAATTTAAACTGGATTTGTGGTGATAATTGTATGTCAGTATTGGCCCATAGACTGTGATGAATGTACAAATGTACGACTCTGCTGGGAGATACTGATAGAGGAACAGGCTATGCATGTGGGGCTGGGAGGCGTATATGGGAATTCAGTACTTTCTGCCAAATTTTGCTGTGAACCAAAAACTACTCTAAAAAAGTTGATTAAAATGCAGGACTCTGGGCCCTAGAATCTGAATATTTTGTTTTACTGGTTCTGAGATGAGGCCTGAGAATTTGTATTTATAATAAGATGTCCAAGGTATACCTGATACTCAGCCAATCTGGGAAGCCATTAAGCTACAAATACAACTGTATATTTCTTTGTTGTTTGTTATTCCAAATCTAAAATATATTTATTTTTATCTTTATCTGTGGGGAAGAAAAATATTCATTTTGGTGGAATAACTGGGTGTAAAATCAAGAATATAGGGTTGTTTCAATGGCTTCCTTCCCAAGGCAGGTATAAAAACTACATTTTTACATTTTTCATATTAGTCAATATTTATATTTTTCATGAAATATAATTTTAATAAGTCATAGCAAGTCAAAAAAGAAGCAACTTAGTAATTGCAATACATGAAACTATGTTTAATAAATAATTTCTGAAGTTCTGATGTATAGCATGGAGACTATGCTAATAATGTTGTATTGTATAGTGTCTTTGATAAGAGACTGCATATTAAATTATATCACAAGAAAAATAAAGAAAAAGAGGTAACTATGAAGGTCATAGAAATGTTAATAAACTTGATTATGATCATCATTTCACAAAGTATATGTATATCAAAACACACTGTACACTATAAATATATACAATTTTTAACAACTGTCCCTTAATAAATCTACTAAAAAAAATTTTAAAGAAGAAAAGAAACCACATGGGAGAATAAGTAGATTTGGGCATGCAGAATGACTCTAAAGCACAAAGCCAAAACAAGCAAATACAGTTTATCAGAAAGATCCCTTAGGAGTAAGTTTTTCTTTTGGATAAATGACCCTCATGAGACTGAGTTCCTTATAAATATCCTCTATTCTGGGAGCTGAATGGGATCTCAGAGCCCTATCTCTTCCTCATCCTTTTTACTCAATGTAAGCACAGGGGCATCCAAGAGACAATGGCCATGCATTATGTTAGATGATTTATGTGGACTCATTTTGCAGTAAGAGAATTGGCCTTATAAGAGAAAATATTTCTAAGAGAAAGTTGTGGCAGCCACATAAACACAAAATGCTGTGGAATTGCCTTTGGAATAAGAACTTACGATAGGAAAAGTCCTAGTATTTTATTGTTTTAAGGCAGCTTTAAAAAATTTTTTTTAAATAGAGATTCTTGCTAATGTGCTGAATCTTCATTCTGAAATGTCCATGAACAATAAAATTCTGGAAAAAATATCAAGGAAACATGGTAAATGGGAAATCTGATTGAGATTCCTTAGATAAAATATTTAAAATATACTATCCCTGAAGA